ACCCACGCGCATTAACACCGCTTCGCCGCCGCCGCCTTCGCTCTCGCCCACCTTTGGCAAACAGGTGAGTCGCTAGAGAATAGGGAAGGATTGCCGATGTCGTCCCCGCCGGCAATTTATGCTACAGTGGTTACTCTAAAATTAAAAGCAAAAAATATTTCAGGCCTACAGTTGGGAAAGCAAAATATTATTAATGAGTCCACGCACTTTTATAGCGCCTCATTTGGGGATGTTTGTTTAAATTGTTCCGTTCTCGAAACTTTTTGTATTAGTAATTTTAAAACATGTTGCATACCTTCAGGCTTGTTCGTGGTGTTGTTTATTTTGCTGCATATTTGATTGGGCCCAATTCAAATATATTTTTGTCTAAAATTTCAATTCCTATTTTTAAAGAACTTCAAATAGTCGTAAATATATTGAAGTAGTCCAAATATGTATTCCTTATAATTTTCTTATAAAAATGTCCCATAAAACAATTTAAATCGATTTTTGTGGCAAGATACACAACACAGTCAAGACAAGCGCTTCACAAATTTCTCAAAGTTTGGCTTACTTTTTTGTCTGGCTACATAAGAAGCCATTTAACTTGAGTATTTTCTTGGCTGCCACACACTGGGTTCAGCTGAAAGCTCTCAACTTTAGTCTAAATTTAGCCAATGCCACCCCATGTCCTGATTATCACAAGCCGCAGATACAAATTCATGGTTAGCCAATGCATATGAAAATTAATTTTGATATGCGAGGATGGCCTACCCGGCTTCGTCTCTAAAACCAACAATATCCTCAAATATAGCAGGCAGATATTGGGTAATACGATTATTTTGTATGGACAATATGAAATTTCTCGGCTTATGCCCATAGAACACACAAGTTATTGTTACACATTATTGACACAAATTAATTTGGGAGGCTGTTGGCAAAGTGTGGTCGTGGCATTATATGTACCGATAACCATTGCAAACCGAAGGAAAACTTGCCCACATTTTAAAGCAATTAGTCAAAGATCGCAAATAAATAAAACATAATTGTGGTCTCGTTTATGCCCAAATCGTAATATTTTATTGTCTATTCTAAGGATAAACTTTAAACTAAAAATAGTAAAACCCATATTGTTAATAGATAATGCTGTCAAGCTATGTCATAAAGGCCGGTCTTCGTGCTCAAATCTTTAGTTTTGGTTAGGGATATCGTGATGCGTAAGCCTTAGGGCACAGTAGACAGTTTTATTTATAGTTTCGATGGATAATTTATAAACATAACCTACATGTAATAAAACTAATTAAGACGAAAAAGTGTGCTTAAGGCTCTACACAGTTTTACTCGAATTTCGGAACACCCACTTTCTATACACATGATAAAAATTATCATTGTTGTCGCTCTTTCAGCCAAGAGCCGACATTAAATTTTGATGAGCTAAAAATGGTTTTTGCTTTGACTGGCCAACCAACTGGCCAAATTTTAAGTTACTTTTGTTTGGCTTTTAGTTTGTGTTGTATTACCTCCCGCCCCCAATGCCCTGTGCCGTTGGCTAACAAGCTCATTAGCAGTTAAAGTTGTTTTTGCTACTAACTACTACCACTAACTTTTTAGCAAATATGCAACAAATTTGTTATCTAAATTTAAATATGCAGCCCAAATATAAATAAAAGTTGCACTTTGGATTTTTAATTAATTATGAGTACTTTCTAAACCAACCTCCCTACTGCCCCACCCCAATCTCCACCCACTCTCTTTCTCTTTTGCAGTATGGCGAACTGTCGCTGACCACCAATCCCGCCTTTAGCTTGTACAACACACCACAGAGGGCGCCAGCTGCACAGCGTCCAGTATACACGGCTCCACCGCCGCTCTTGTCGACACGAACACCACCAAACATCTATACGAGAATACCGGGACGTGGCAGCAGTGGTCCCAATGGCGGAGCCACCACCTATCTGCCCGCCTACGAAACCCGCACATCTCCCACCTCGCCCTACGGCTCGACTACCACCTGCACGATGCCGCTGCTGAACGGCCAGTCGAATGGCTCCCTGCAAACGAACAGCAGCAGCATTGGAGGTGGAATCACGTGCAATACATTGCCGCATCCAGGCAGCCTGCACTTGGGCGGCGTTTCGGCAGCGATGACCAGTTCAGTGACCAGCGGTAATATAACCATTGGAGCTGCCCAATCGCTGCTCACCTCACCACGTGCCCAAACAGCCTACAGCACACTGGGAAGCGTTGCTGGCACGCAATCGCCGCTGCTCAGCGTGGGCAGCTCCCTGATGGGGGTCGTCGGTGGCGGTGTGGGCGGTAACTATGAGACGGTGAGCTCCTGAGAGTTAGCCAAAGATGACATTAAATGTCAGATCGTGTGCATTGGGGGGAGCAGTACGTGCACCACGTCAGGCGCTGAGCGCACCACCATCGTCTAGAGAACCTGCCCCAAAAACAGAACTGTAATCCCATATTGTATTATAGTTATGTAGTTTAGCTGCCTAGCTGTCCAGACATGCACTTTCGTCTAGCTTTTCGGAATAACACCCAGCTGAAAATGGCATAAAGCGAAGCGAACAAAAAAAATTAATAAGACTTCCAAAATGGCAGAGCGATCATAGAATGTTATATGGGTAAGTGAGAGATCTTGAAGCGACTAAACTTAACTGTAAACCACAAGAGAACAAAGCATTTATAGTTTACTTGTACCAGGAAAACAGTTTGCATAGCGTTGTTTATATGTATGTATATGTGTGTGCAGAAATGATGATATATATTCCATATATATATTTCGGTGAAACCAGGCAATACTAATAGTTGTAGCTTTTATTTATGTACCAAGAATCAGTTAAATACTGAGCCACATAAACTACATATACTTGACATACTTTGTGCGCAAAAAATACTTCAGTGAAAATAATGAGCTATGCTTGTGAATTCATCAAGAAACTAGTTTAAACAAATACTTAACAACTAAATGGAAATACACCATGGTAAAAATTAAAAAATATATATATATATATATATGTATATCTAAAAATCCCTTGAGAATTTAGATGTAGCAAGAGTTGTATATATTAACTAGGCTAAGACCAAGTAAACCATAAAATATAGCATTAATTGTAGCCATTTAACTCATGTAGTCTAAACTAAATTAGTTAGTCACATTGAATCTACGAAAAGACTATCCCCCTTTCAAAAATGAACAAATCCTGAGTATATTACTGACTTATATGGCATAAATAACATAATATAGGCATATATGTATATATTATATATACTATATACATGCATATAGATAATATATATATACGAATACACATAGCACAACATTAAAGGAATCTGACTAGGCGCAAATGATATGTATGTGTATGCATACAATCTATATATATATATATATATATATAATTATATATATGTATTTCGTATATCAACGATAATATTTTTGTTAAATGTGAAAGAACTTTATAAGCATCTGTTGTCGAAACTTTATCAAATATGTAAGTATATATGTAATTAAAATCCAAAATGCCCGCGCCAATGTTCAATGTGTATGTAAACATTTTGCCACCCGCCCAATATTCAAATTAAAAACTCTTTAAGATAAACAAAACACACACACAAACTACAAGTTTTGCCAGTGTTCGAATTTCTTTGGAACCACATCTAAATAAATAAATTGCAAGTGCTTTTTAAATGGACAGAATCAAATAATATTGTGACTCGAATTGTAATTTAACATAAAAAAAAAAATAAATTGAAAATAAATATATTGTATAGTTATCTATATAACTTCCCAAAAATATATATTTTTAAAAAAAAACTTTTGTTTGAAATTGTCACTAAACTTAGGTTTACATTTTCAACATTTCTGTCAATTATATAAGTTGTAAGCAAAATCTTTAATATTTATTTGGATTTTCATTTAATAATATTTCCAAAGCGTTTTTAACGTCAAATACAAATAAATCTTAATATTTAAAACAATGAAGAAAACAAATCTGAAATATGTGCAAGAATAAATAAAGAACTAAATCAGAAAATGAATGTAAAAATGTAATTTTTTGCTGATATATTTAACTGAAAAACCTTTAATGCATTTATTACAAATGCCAAACTATAGCGTTGCGGTTGAATATGGAAAATTTGGCAACAAAAATAATTTACAATTAACAAATAAAAACAAAGATGGAGGAGCCTTTAATTAACCTAAAGAATACATGCCACCTGTCAGAATCTGACTGCTGGCAGTTGACGTTGATTTGATTTGTCGTAGGCTAAAGAAATTTTTCATAATTTAAAGAGTAAGCAAGCCCTCGAGTCGCTGCTAATGACAACAGCGGCACACACACACACACCCAACGGGACACACATGACATGATTTCGTGTGCGCATATTTGTCCATTTGGCAGGACACGCAATACATTTGGAATTAATTAACGCAACAGAACAGAACCCCAGACTCAACCCACAAAAGCACCCAAAAGTGAGCAACCACAAGCATATATCCCTTTAGATGCCTGTGTGTGCTTGTGTGTTCAAGCAGTCCACATCCTGCGGCGAAACTTGTCACAGACTAATTTCGTGTCTCAGCTCATAAATTGATATTAATGAGCGAACGTATTTTTTCGCGTTTGAATTTGACTTCGGTTCGTTTGACTCTGACAGTTACAAAGTGGCTTCAAGTATGCGTAATTTGAGTCGGCGACCAATGTCCTGCGGTTATTTAACATGACTCGACATTCAAATGAACAAACACGTATGTACGCATACATACATAAACGCATGCATATGTGTAACAGACCCAAGTCCCGGCGGGGCTAGTCCCTCACACCTGACGACTGGCCCCGCTGTGGGCGCTCGCTCACATTGTGTTTCGGAAAATAAATTGTATGAGAAATTTCTGTTTGCACATTTTACCTCGAGGGAATTAAAAAATAACCTGATGTTGAGTGCAAACGACAACATTTACACAACATTTATTGTCATTCCTCAAATTACGACAACTGATCAGTTTAGTAAACAACAAACAGTTTTTTCCATAATTCAAACGGGTTGTCGCACCGCTTTATCCGATCTAGGGAAGTTCGTCAGATAACACAATCTTCTGGCAATCACTTTTATTCTTCTTTTCCTTAGACTTTTTGTGCTTCTTCTCTGGCTTAGATTCTTCCTCGCATTCAAACTCTTTATATTTGTGCTTTCTTTTACGCGATTTGATTTTTTCCTCATTGCGTGTGTCTTCCAGCTTGGATACTTCTCTTGCCATTGTCATCTCAGTTGTTGTGTTTTTAGTAGGATCCTCCATAATAAGTTTTTGCCTTGGTTTAACTTTATCCAACTCCTGGTCCGTGATCTCAATTTTGGCGGGGCTTATGAATTTCTCCTCAATATGCAGTTTCTCTGGCTCAACCATCTGGAGCTCGTGTCTATCACTTGGCTTCTCATGATGCTTCTTTGAGGATTCTTTTTTTCGGGAACGCTCCTTACTTTTCGGTTCCTCTTTCTCAATATTCTGGGGATCGTCACCATCAGTTGCCCTTTGATGCTTTTTCGCGTGTTCTCTTTTAAGGGAATTGTTATTGAGTACATCACTTATTGGGCTTCCTTGCTCAACTTTCAGGAGCTCGTTAGTGTCATATGGCTTCCCTACGCTCTGCTCCGGGTATTCTCTATTTCCGGATTCATCCTCATGCTTTAATTTTTCTTGTTCAATCTTAAGGTGCTCAGCATCACTTGACCTCTCTTGGCGCTTTTTCGAGTGTTCTCTTTTCCGGTCATGAGCATTAATTACATCACTTACTAGTTTCTCTGGCTCAACTTTCTGGAGTTCGTGGCTGTCAGTTGGCTTCTCTTCGCTCTTTTTTGAGTGTTCTTTTTTTCGGGAACGCTCCTTACTTAACGGTTCGTCGGTCTCAATCTTTTGCCGATCGCCAGATTCACTTGCCTTCTCCTTACGCTTCTTCGAGTGTTCTTTTTTACTAGAATAAGTAGAGAGTACATCACTCAATGGATTCTCTAGCTCATCATTCTCGAGCTCGTTATAGTGAGTGGGTTTCTCTTGACTCTGCTTCGGGTTATCTTTTTTGCGAGACTTTTCACCATTCTTAGACTTTTCTTGTTCATAAGCCTTCCCTTGACGCTTGTTTAAGTGCTCTTTTTTTCGAAAACCTTCCATACACATTGGACTCTCTTGCTCAACCTTTGATTGCTCATCCGCAGAACTTATTTTTTCTTGGCTCTTTTTCGAGTGATCTTTTTTTCGGGAACGCTCCTTACTCATCGGTTCGTCTTTCTCACTCTTCTGAGGCTCTTCGATCTCAGTTCCTCTCTGTTCACGTTTTTTCGAGTATTCTTTTTTTCGTGAGCTTTCTTTAGCTTTTGCCTTATCTTTCTTCGCTTTTTGACGCTCTTCAGTCTTTTTCTCCACTTCATCTAGTTCTCTCAGGTTCTTAACATCTTCCAGCACATTTGCAAGCAATTTGCTGCACTTATTGGCCTGTTTGTTAGCCGTCTGTAGTGACTCTTCTTTATCTCCCAGGTATTGAAAGAAGCTGCGGAAACAAGTTCAGGAAACATTCAAAGTACCTAGTAAAAACAATGTTTCAACTCACCTCTGAGCAATTTTGAGCTCCTGCTCGGCGTGCTGCAGCTGTGTCCTATCGGTTCGCTGCTTGCCATATGTTGCTCTGATGTCCTGCTTTATAACTATTCCCATATTATAGAGTATCATCAGATCTTGGGGCGCAACATGACGAGCTTTTTGCAGCAATTGCTTGGCTTCCTCGAACTGGCCGGTTTGATAGAGAGCTTTCGCTAGCAAGTGCATCTCTTTCACACTGTTGGCAGGCAGAAACTCCTTCAAACATTGTTTATATATGTCTATTGCTTCTATATAATGCTCCTGTTCCATGGCAATGTGTGCTGTGTTTAAAATAGCCTCAGTACAGCGCTTGCTAGACTCAACTATCTGCTTGAAGATCGACTCTCCATCTGCCAGATGTCCGTGATTACTCAAGGCAACACCAATGCCATTAGCGGCCCACAAATTACGTTGATTTTGTTCAAGGGCCTGAAATGTAATAAATCGATTGAGTATCCGAGATTGATGCAAATGAATTAACCGATGCAGAGCACTAGTGCATAGGCATACGAATTTCCTGCCGCTTACCTTTCTAAATAGCTGCAGTGCATTCTCCTGATATTGCTTTGCCATCTCTAGTTGGCCATTGGCCGTGGTCCTTTGTACTTTTACCAAGCACACATTGCCCACGGCGACAAGCATATACGAGTCCCCTAAGCTGCCCGGACGCCGCATGATCACATTATAGTTGCACATGGCTTGAGAAAGTGCGCCTTGCTTGGCATACAAATTGCCCAGATATGTTCTACAAAGCCAGTTAAAGTAAGAGTATATCTAAGAGTATTATCTTTTACTTTTACCTGGCTGCCACGTTGTCGTTTTCCAGCTGTAGCACAGCCTTAAAGTACTCCATGGCCATGATAATTTGATTGCGGTCCTGGGCCATAATGCCCAATCTTAGATAGCTGTCGTAATAATTTGGATATTCGGCAATTAACTGTTTGTAGCTGTCCTCCGCCTGATCAGCCAAGTGCAGTTCCTCCAGCACGCGCGCCCTATTGAATCTCAGCGTGAGAATGTTGCACTCAAAGTGCTCCTGAGTGGCACTTTTCGGATTCGTAGACAATGCCTTGTCCAGCGTTTGCAGTGCCGCTTCCGGCTGCCCGGCATGCAACTGCAGAGCTGCCACATTATTAAGCCAAGCTATAGGTGCCTCCTTGGTTGTCTTTTGCAAACGTAAATAGATGCTTACGGCCTGCTCGTAGGCGTCGATGGCTTGCTCCCAAAGCTGCAGGCGCTCGTAGGTGCCGGCCAGACCCAGCCATGTGTCGTAATCATCCCGCGCACCTGGTCGCTCCAAAGCACTTTTAAACAACTGTATCGCTTTGTCTAGCTTGCCGGGTGAGTCCGCCTGCGCATATAGCGTGGCGAGCATGCGCAGGCCGTGAGGATTATCTGGCAACAGTTTGAGCAGGGAGCGCAGCGAGTGCTCCGCCAGATCGAGCTGTCCGCGACGCACATACATCTGGGCGATGCCCAGATAAGGGGGCGCATATTCCGACAGACACTTCAAGGCCTTGCCATAGAAATCAAAGGCACGATCGAAGTTGTTTTGCGCGTGGAAGCTGCGAGCAATCAGAAAGCAGTTCTGAGCCTTCAGCAGTGGATTATCTGTGATTAAATATGCATTCCCAGCGGCCGTTTGCATTTTGCCGTAGTTGCGTGAATAGTAAAGGTAGCACGCAAGCCAGCTGAGCACCACTGGATGACGATGGTTCAGCTCAAAGGCGGCGCATAGTAAATTTGTGGCCTCCATATTGGCTGCACGCTGGCGCTCGTTAAGCTTCAGTTGTGCGATGCCCAGCAGCGCATTTATGCAGCGCCCATTGCGTTGTACGGCCATCTCGAAGGCGCGTCGAGCGCTGTCCAAATCGCCCATCTGGAGGAAACAGTGGGCAATGCCCACGCGCACATCGGCCGGTCCGTGCGGATGATGCTGTAGCACGCTCTTAAAGTAGCCCAACGCCACACGATACTCCTGACGATTGTAGGCTAGGCAGGCGCGTCCCAGCAGGGCAGGCACACTGTACGGCATCTGTCGCAGCACAGAAACAAAATGGTTATCTGCGTCCTGTAGACGCGCCTCCGTAAGCATCAGCGCAAAGCCACGACACAAGAGATGCGGCAAGTCATTGGAAACCAGCTGCATGTTGTCCATTATCTGCAATTGTTGCGATACCTTCTCTTGCCACATGGCACGACGATTGCCATGCTCGCTGCAGGCCAGACGAAAGAAGTGCGCTGCCAACAGAGTGTGGATCTTCAGTAAATCTTCCTTGTAGCCCGGATAGGTCTTGAAGCCACGCGTAATGGCATTCTCCAACAGCAGCACGAAACCTTCAAACTGATTTTGGTGATAGTACGCCCACTAGCAATGGGAGCAATGAGCACAATGGCAGTGGACTACATTATCTTGAATGGTTCTCTATGATACTTACAGCTTTTTGTATCCATTCGCGCAGTTTGACCCGTTTGGAACAGAGTGCGTTAAGCACCTCCTGCACATCACAAAGTGGTTCCATTACTTGCCCACTGTTTCGCGATTGTGGAGCTGCTTCAATTTTTCCAACTTTATTAGCCATACTTGCAACCAGAAAAATGTTCTTCTCTCGACTCTCACTTTCTTGTAGCTTTATCTTCTTGGAAGACAAAAAAGAAGCATGCAGGCATGCCTGTCAAATTTCTATCGATAGCTACATAAATACTATAAATCGATACACATCTGCCAGAACGATAATTTCATTAAGTACAGTTAAGTATGAAAATGCTAGCTACGATTTATTAGAAGCTACGTGTTTATACATATTATAGGAAGCAAGTGCCTCCTAACAATTTACTATCCTGGTCATAAGATTATTCGTTTCACTCCAGCGATCCGATTGTTTAAAAAGTAGCTAAGTCTAATGCTTAAAATAGCTGAAACATTTTTCGGAGTGCTGCTAAAACTAGCTAAATAAGTTATAATCAAAATGTAGCTAAAAAAGGCTGAATTGGCAACACTGTAAATTCTCTTATAGCTAAAATATGTAGCTTATCATGTTCCCGTACACGTATGAATTCCATTTTAAAAATAGCTTTATTAAAAGAATAAAACCTAGAAATAACCACTGCAAAAAGCACTCGTTAAGTGGATTTCAACACCTTCCATTCGCCTCGAACCATATCAATGCCAAACTCACAATTGTTTGTAAACATATAGTTATGACGTGAATTACATGACGTCTTTGAATTGTGCAGAGACACACAAGCCCATAATTACTATATTGTATTGTGAGTCGCCTTTATGCTGTGATTCGTGTTTAGTAATGTTGCTTGTCACCGCTCAGGTGCGACCCGGCGCAATGAAATCGAAAACAATAAGCCTAAGCCCAAACTGTAGTTTCCATTCCTCTCTTCCTGAACGACCCACACAATTTCTGTACGCTGTCAATCAAGATCCATTAGGTAGTGAGCATACGAATGAAGTACGAGACCTAGGTGACCGCAGCTAATCCGTTCGATATGGCAGATTAGTGTCCACCGTGCTACCAATTCACATCCGTGTCAGTCGAACTTGTTCTTGTGCCTCGATTGCGAGTATAAATGGAGCAGACTGTCTGTGAACCAGCATCAGTCAACGCACTCCAGTCTCTGAGAACGTTCGTCGTACACATACAAACCCAAACAATCAACATGAAAGTGAGTTAGCTGAAGCAACATTTGCTTAGAAGATATTCCAATATTGTCTTCCTTTGTAGTTCCTCATTTGCTTGGCTCTCTTTGTCGCCGTGGCCCAGGCCCATGTTGTGGCACCAGTTGCCACCTATGCCGCTGCACCTGCCCTCACCTATGCCGCACCTACGGTCTACTCGGCTGCTATTCCACGTGCCTACACCGCATACGCTGCCGCTCCTTCCGTCTACTCCGCTTCATATGTGCCATCGGTCTACTCATCCTATGCTGCTCCAGTTGCCACATATGCCGCCCCCGCTCTTGTCTCTACGCTGCTAAAGAAGTAAATCAATCAAAAAAGCCACTACATCACATGCAAATTTAGTTAAGTCAGAATATCAAAATAAATTGAGCTGAAATGAAGATTGACAAAAGGTCCCATTTGATTTGAGCTAATTGCCAATTTTTTGAGGGATTACCCTTTTTCTTATTCACAAGAGCGGAATCGTTCGTGCATCCGGACAGCCGTTTATGTTATGCAAATGAATTATGACCGGACTGTGTGGAGCGGCAGCCGGACTGTGCAACCAACTGTGGCACGTGTTTGTCCGCGGCACATACTCACGTGAAATGGTAACCGTCAGTCGGCACATAATCCGCCCGTTAACGCTCCACAAACACACATAAAGCGTTGAATAACTAATCAGCTGGGTAAACAAACGCCTATTGATTTTACTTGACTCGAATGGTGTTAACTGTTCGCAAAATGGCACAGAATTATGCAGAATTTTAGACGCCGGCTAATGCAAAGCCCAATTCTTTAAGAGGCCAAGTAGGAAGATTTGAAAAATTCATTCTGTCAAACAGAGTTTTTAAACTGTTTCCTTTGATCCGCTTCCGCCGGGACGAGCAACGATTATGCACAACAAAACTTTTGCTCTCGCTCAGCGATACATTTCCGCACTTTTTAGGGGGGCGGAGCAAAAAGTTGTACCTAAATCACTTAGACCAAGAACAAGTGTCGGCATGTCGAAAATTCACGCCAAACAGACAGCGACTGCAGCGAGTCGTCCGGGATGACTGCGAAACTTTGGCTGGAAAACTTTGGAAACAGCTGCCAACGCTTCATCAGCCTACAAATATGATGTTTTATATAAGTAGTTAGAAGTTGTTATTGTTGTATATCTTATGCCCCACACACATTGAAAATGGATAAAAAGGGTTTATAGTTTGGTAAAAATGTATGTAACAGGCAGATGGACTGTGTCCGCGTGTATCAAGGCGTGGAAAATACTACGGCCAACGACTTAAAATTTAAAGTAAATATTCTCGTATACCATGCACAGTCCGATTTCATATAATCGATAAATAGCGATTTTGAGACAAGGCTTTTTAATCATAACTCAAAATCTATAAGAGAATGTATTTCTTTTTGGATGCCTCTGCCATTCTTTCTAAATTTAATAGATGAAGGCCCTAAATTTGGGGTATCGTCTAGTTGGGTACTCCTGACTAAAGTAGTCTTAGTTTTAACTTTCCCAAAAATATAATACCGAGCGACAAGTGGCATTTGATTTGTTGAGAAATTTTAAGTTTAAGACCATTTCTCTTACTATGTTATTATCAGAGCAGCTTATTAGGGAGGAAACCAATTCACCCATTTTTCGCATGCACTCTACGTTCGGCTCAATTGTGGCGCAAGGAAGTGCGCAGTAATAATGCATAGGCAACTGGGATATCCTTAAGGACTTGTCTTCCTAAGCCTGCTTGCTGCATAAAAGTCTATTGCAAATGGAATGAAAACAACAAGAAACACAACAAACCTAATGACAATTGAGTGGAAGGCAACAGCTCAGAACTAATCCGATATTCATTTCTCATTCCACCAGTGTTGGCGTTGCCGCGCATAAATTGACAACATCCTCTCAAGTATTTATTTCTGCTGTTCCGTGATTATATTTTGTGGGAGTTCCACCACCTTTGACTTATTCTAGTTTAAACTGGGGACTCAGACAGTTCAAAAACAAAATGCTTTCTTTATTTGTTTTATTTGTTTTATTTCATTAAATTTTGTAATTTGTTGTTTGTTCATTTGTAAGCCAGAGCAAGGCTAGCTTCTTTCCGGCCCAATAATTAAGCCTATGCCAAGTGAAGTGCATATCAAACACGTTCGCGCGCATTTGGCTTTGTCTCAAGAGCGGAATCGCCCAACCCGCATCCCTTCGCTCAGCCCCTTCAAGCAGAGAAAAACCCTTCTACACGTTCGCTCTTTTGTTGATTTTCTTGTTTGTTTATTTGTTTGTTTGTTGCATGACGCCTTGACAATGGCGAGTCCGTCACGGCCACGTCCTCAGCCAGCCATGCCCACCAGGTAGCAGTACGTGTATGCCAGATACAAAGCCAAATGACAAATGACTCTGAAGTGCAGCTGTGCAGAAAGTCAAAAGATGTTACGTAAAGGTAATGCGAAAGCTAGTACCACCTGAAGTTAGAAACAAATATCAAAATATTGACTACATATAATCCCCACTTCATGGCATTTTATGACGACCAGCATTTTCTTGAATGCTAATAAAAATATTGGCTTAGAAGTCTAAGAATTCATAATTTAAACCGTTTTCCCCAAACTCCTCATATATCTGGGCATTATTTATCTTGATAAATAAAGCTGTTTGTCTTGACTGAGTGATTGCTGATTAAAAGCGCAGCCTAATTCGTAAGAGCTAGGAAGCTGAAATTTTTACTTTAGTTCCCTTATATGATGGAGTCGCACGTTAAGGTACAAGATATATATATATTTATATATGTATGTAAGTTATGAATGTATGATGTATGTATGTCTATATTATGTAGTATGTATGTACATGTGTATGTATGTGTGTATGTATGTATGTATGTATGTATCTATATATGTATGTATGTATGTATGTATGTATGTATCTATATATGTATGTAAGTATGCATGTATGTATGTACGTATTTATGTATATATGTATGTATGTATGTATATCTGCATGTATGTATGTATGTATGTATGTATGTATGTATGTATGTATGCAAGTAATTACGTATGTAGATGTGTATGTATGTAAATAGGTTCTTAACTTAACTCCTTCTAAGCGATTCTCATGAATTCAAGTTAGGTTCATAGGCTTCACTTTAAGTGAAGGAGTCGGCTTCGACTATGGAGGAGACGCCTTCAAATATGGAGGAGGCAGCTTGAGCAAAGCAGGACAAGGCGGCTTGAATAGTTGAGGAGGCGGATACAAATATGGAGGAGGCGACGCTTTTAATATTGGAGGAAACGGTGGCTATGGCTTTGGCGGACGAGGCGTCATCTGATAGATGGCAATAAAATAACCGAGCATGTGAATTTACAGGTGTGCACCCAATTACAAATATACATTTTAATGCCAATATATATTTCATCATATATATGCGAGTGTATGCGTATGCATATACAAGGTACACATATGTTTGTGTGCATGTATATTTTTTTATGCCAAAAACAGAGCTTTCTTCCCGCTGTGCTGCACATATAAATAAAACTTATTTTTAATGAGTGTCATACTACCCGATTCTCCTGAATTCTACTAGGCTTAGAAAGTCTTCATGCTTTCATAAGTAGTAAGTGTAGTGGTGCTGTCAAGTAAAAAAATTTTTTTTTGTGGGTAAGTATTTATATATATATCAATATATATTTTTATATACGAATGTACTTATATATATATATGTATGTATATATGTATACATTTAAATTTAAATATGTTCACACATGTTTACTAACCGCTGCGCTGCAAATTAAATGATATCCATTGACTAAAGTTATTTAAGTAACAAGTTGTGTTGGCAAACAAAAAAGTTTATTTCTGCTCATACTCTGTGTTTAATATACTCTTTCAAACTTTCCCTAATTCCTATAGTGATGTGTGTATAAAAAAGTCTGTCTGCCTCGTACTACTAGGGAGCAAAAACATAATCGTGTATGCGTATGTACATTTTAATTTATTTATTTACACTGTTGCTTAATTATTGATATTATTCCGTTGACCAAATCGGTCGTGTTTGACTATTTTTCAAGTACCAATGAAACAAATGCAAAAGGTAAATAAATAATTTATTGCACTTAAATGAATGCTAAATAATTTGAATTGTTTTATTAAAGAAAAATTGTGGAAAGATTTTTGTCTGTGCGCTTGTATTTGTCACGAATTTTGAACCTTCGTCGATATCTAAAGCCTCACTTAAGCCCTTTGGAAATCCCTTCACGAACTACCCAAGTCCCCAATGAAAGTTTCTGCCGCACCAAATCAAATGTCGATTATCGCCTAGTTAGTTGCACTCCCGGGGAACTGTAAGGCGCAGTTTCCAGTGCCCTAAACTCTTCACATTAGCAGCGAGGGGCAATTGGCGCCTGGCACCGACTGTGCGCTTCCGCCTTCGATAACATCTGCCACTTGCGAAGGTACCGTATCCAGGCCCCTTTTCGCCTCACCCCGCTGCGATGGCGCTGGGCGTCATTTCGACTGACTCTTATTATCGGCGTGTTTGTTTTATGAAGGTCGTTTCCAACAGCCCCCTATCGCACGGAACAAAAGGATTCAATGCACGCACGCACAGACCCAGCTCAGCACCCCTTAACCGAACCCACGCCCACTGCTCACTCTTTCTTGTCGTTGTCATCATTGTCGTCATCATTCTCACCAGTTTCGCCATTGTTATCCTGCTCCCGATTGAGCTCCATCTGCTTATGTGTTCTTGCTTTATGACATTTTCCCCAAATCGACGCTATCTCCAGTGAAGTTCCTTGTCCGTCTCGGCGATATCTGTTGAAAATCAAACATTTCGCTTGTCCAGCAAACCAAAAATTTGTCTGTGCTTTACAAAGTGCTAATAGGGCAGTTGTCAGAGGATATGGATGAGCCCCAAGTTCATCATAATTGCGTATGACAAGAGTCAAAACGAATCTGAAAACAACTTCTGGGTTGTTTCCGCCTGGCTGGGGTGGTTTGGTGGTAGGTGTCTTGAGAGAGCACATTAAATTATGGCACATTATTGACAGTTTATCAAATTGATTTAACAAAGCGTATTGTTGTTGCTGCTTGTTGGTTACTTTGTACGTCAGCCCACGCACCCGCTTTCCCTCAGCCCAGACCTCCGCCCCTAAACGTTAGACGCGTGCTTTGCTTGTGTATTTTAAGCATCCTTAAGTGGTCATGATAAATGTTATGGCTCTTTCTCTAGTTTGTGCCACTCCTCAGTCCCTGCATTCACTCTTTTACCCAACCTTTGTTCGCTTAGCTTTTGTATGAGTGTGTGTGTGAATTTATGTAATGTGCAAAGTTAAAGCATACTTTTCGGCTGTTTGCTTAATGTTTTGCTGCTGTTGCTCTAAGAAAATTTAGTTAATTTTAGTTTGTTTGTACGACAAAGTACGTTAAATTGTCTGTTGTTTTATTAATTTAAACAAAAGCTGCCAGAAAAAGTTGACCAACTTTCAGGCATTACACAAACATAGCCAGCAGCCATGTGCTTTTACGGCCTGAACTGATGGGTTGGCATGTTCTGGGACAAAAATAAAATAATTGGTCAGGTCAAGGCTGAAATACAAGTTTTTCGTGCCCAAGTAAAAGGGATAATGGACCATGTCCACCATGAAAAGCCTATATTATATTCGAAAATTTGGCATTGCATTAAATATTAATATAGCACACTTATTGAAAAGTACCCTTCACAAATTTCTAACGAGCCCAACGAATTAAAGCCTTTCACTCAGCTCATACCTCACACAAAAGACTTAAAAAGACTTTAACTCCTTGCTGTTTGTGGCTCTTTCTTGAATTTGTACCTTTTTCGGGTTGCTTTTAATTTTTGTTATTCTGCGCTTTCCTCTCCAAATTAAGCCAGTTACGTAGCGGAAGTCATGTTGGCTCCGGCACGCTCCCCCACGCTCTCAGCTGGCATTGTAAATTTGCATAAAAGACGCTATTTTAGTGCTAGCAAAGGAACGAAAGACCAACCCGAAAATATACACTTCACTTGAGCTGCAGCTGTAATAAAATATTTTTTGGGCCAAACGTAAAAAGCGAGAAAAAGTGAAAAATGAAAAACTAAACAGTGTGCAAAACGCAAAGGCGAAAACACAGAAAGGAAAACAGCAGCATATGCTGATTTTTTACTCTCCGCTTGTGTGTGTGTGTTTGTGTGTGGAATTAAGTTTACGGAAACGGAAATGGAAGCTGCACGCCGCCATATTGCTCTTCTGCAGCTGATCGCCGGCAGCTGCTGCTCTTCCTCTTGCCTTGTATAGCTCACTCCTTTTACTTTGTTCAGTCCATGTCTGGCTTATTTATTTCGTTTCTGCTTTGTTCTGCCGCTGCTGTGACCTTCCTGGCGCTTTCGTGCTATAATCCCAATCCTCAGGTGCTGCTCACCTCACTGACCTGTGTAAGCAGCATGCTCTGTTGCTCCATTTCTGACTGCTCCGATTGGTCCGACTGCTCCTCGGTAGCAGCTCTTCTCGACGAAGGTTTAAACAGCTCCCAGTAATTGCAGCAGTAAATGAAAGCACCTGCAATGAGATTCTATTTTTTTGTGGGTTTCTCTTTATAATTCGGCATATAACTTACTTATGCAGCTGAGCAGCAGCCACGTGATAGTGGCAATGACAATCATGAAAGTATACTTGGAATGTTCTTCCAAGGCAGACTTGCCTGTGGTGTTAACTGTAAAGCTTATAAGTAAGTTTTCAGTTTTTTTATGTTGATTATAGTTACAACCTTTGATTTGTTCTGTAAGATACTCATAATCGTACATTGTTGTTTGATTAGCCATAGCTTTTATTTGACTATCGGACGAGACACCTCTTACCGCCTTGAAATGCCTGAGGCCACTGTAAGGTCCAGTCAGATTGCGAGTGCCAACTTATTGGGCTTAGAAACAGCTGGTGAACACTGGCACTACCATGCAATATGTCGTAAGTTGTATGGGCGGAATCAGAAACATATGTTGCATTTAGCAAAAAAAACACCTAACAGCTGGTTCTCCGCCGTTATATGCGTAAGTCATTTAAGTGCAAATCATAAGATGTAGTTCCCAAACATATATGACTGGGCAGTCAATGTTTCTATTCTTTTTTGAAAAGAATAAGGTTGAAAATTCAAGTTTGATCGAATTCCTCACACGCCAACCTGGCACATATACAGATCCACTCAAATAATTATTAATAAATATATAATGTTCGATTTGGCGACCTTTCCATTTAATAATTATTTGTTTGGCTGGCTCGGGGTCCGTGGCTTTTTAGGGCAATTGTTTTACACGTCTGCGATCTTTGACGTGAAGGTTGAGGTCAGTTTCAGACAAACAAATAATTATTAATAATTATGAATAATTGTGAATATAAATAAATTACATAAATATATATACCATTTGAATATTGTTGCCGGATTTAAATCAGCGACTTCTCCCTTATTTGCAATACAATATACATAGGATGTATAACTGAGTATTGTTGAAAAATCATAGATAAAGCCACCAAAGTTTCGTTATTTAAAATATTCATATCGTACGGAAGCTCTACACCTTTCATTCTCTTATACACTAGTCGGCATAATTATTTTGACGAAACTTACTTGCCACTATCGGGGTTCACTTTGATTAGTACCGTTATGGAACGGTGCAAAAATGAATAGAAAACGAAAGAGCGTAATTATAGCTATGTGCAAGCAAAATTATTTGTGGATTATCTTTTGCATTCTCTTTCTGCTGATAAGAATGCACTCAGAAAACAATTTTTTTCAAATTCAAAAGACATAATACTGTTAACAACTTGCCAAGATTGGGTGCCAAACGCAAAACAACGACGATTGAAGACAGAATCCTTCTGCGCGCATTCAAGAAAAACATTCATTTAAAGCCTCAATCTGCTGCAAATGAATGGAATGAGAAAGCCAATAAAACAATCAGTGAACGTAATGTTCGAAGACGTTTAAAGGAAGCAGATATCAAGACTTACCGAGCAAAGGAAATACCGTACATCTCTAAAGTAAACAAGGCGAAAAGATTTGCTTTCGCAAAGAAGCATCAGCATAAGCCAAAAGAGTTTTGGAGGAGCGTTCTTTGGACAGACGAAAGATCCTTCGAGTATAATTCAGCAAGTCAAAAGATTTTTGTAAGGCTGCCACTGGCACAACGACAAAAAAATAGGCCCGTTTGCAAAACAGTGAGTCATGGCGGAGGCTCTCTCATGTTCTGGGGATGCATTTCTTACAATGGGTTGGGTGACTTCGTTGCCATTGAAGGCTTGATGAACCAAGGGCAATATTTGACAGTGCTGAATGATAACGCTTTCCCTTCCGGAGACAAGCTTATCGGTGCAACAGTAATGCCCCATGCCACAAAAGCAGAATGATCACAAAGTTTTTACAAGATGTTGGTGCCAATACTCTCGATTGGCCACCACAAAGTCCTGACTTGAATGTAATTGAAAACGTGTGGTCCCTCATAAAGCGGAAGCGAATTGCTTCTTTGCATAAAAGCAAAGAAGAAACAATTTGCGAGGCTACTTCCCTTTGGAACGAGGTGACCACGGATATCCTCAAAGCTTTAGTGGACTCAGTGCCAAAACGCCTTCAAAAAGTGATTGAAGCTAAAGGGGACTATACACTTTATTAATCGAAATTATATTTTGAAGACTTTTTATGATTAAATTGTAATTTCATTTATTAAAATCACTGGTCAAAATACTTATGCCAACGGCTGAAAATCAATTTATATCATATATTTTTAGGTTTCCATGAAATAATTTTTGTTTGTTTTATTTTTAAGTTTGTATGACCAAGATGTAAAAAAGAAAAAAAAATTGTTAAGTTCTATAAAGCCAATAAAAAGTTATAAGCAAAAACACATCGCTTTCATTTCGTCAAAATATTTATGCCGACTAGTGTATATTGCTGGCACAACCCTCAATTGTTTTGTACCTTTTATTGAAGGCGTTGCTGTTTATCATTTACAGCATTGCATGACTTGTGCTCATATATCAATATCGTTGGTTATATACTAACCCACTTGGAAATCGTATTTATAGAGAAACCCAAACAATAACATTGACGAAATTATTGCCGGCGCCCCAAAGAATTTGGTACAACAAAATCGAGACGAATTTGCAATTTTTCGTGTCCTGTGGCTTGCGTGTGAGTTCTATTTGGGGAGATGGAAGGAGTAGAGGCTGCCTCTGCACAACCAAAACTAATTACGAGTACAAGCAGTTGGGGTTCGGGTTCGTTTGGGGGCAATCCATTGCTGTGCATCTTACAGCTACTCTAATTGAATTCAACAAATATCCGACAGGTCGCGTAGGAGCAGGAGTAGCAGATTTTATGCTTCACATATGTCGGCATCAGCCGTTTAAAAGCAGCTCGCAATATCCTGCGGATGTGGTTGTTCTGTCTGTGAGGCTATGTCAGCTAGAGCTAAGGCTTATGCGAAGCCTTTAAAAGCCAACTCAATAGAAGAAAATCTAAAGTAGGAATGCAATTGCTTTGCAAAGAAAGTGGTTTTAATGATTATTTAGTTGTGAGTAAAGTATTCTGTAAACTGTATTTAAAGTGCTTTAAGCTGCATCAACAAAATGAATATGCTTAGTAATTCGTTTGACTATTACACATATACTAGCTGGTTCCTAATTATGCTGGCAACTTTCAGTTTGCTGTTGCTCACTTCTGAGTGCCACTTGCAGCTTGAAAGCACCTGGCAGACTTCCAATGTAGAGGGCATTCGTCAGTCAGCACATATACGAAATTAAAGAAGCTTTCAATGGGGCATGTATAAATCCTTATAGGCGCATTCTTTTCAAAGTCCCTTTGGACTGCTCTGAGTTCTGCGGGTTGATCTCTTCTCAGTAAGCATTTATCTGTTTGAATCCGCTGCGCTCGCCTTCTGACGTAATAAAATTAAATATTTAAGCTTACAACAGCTGAATGGACCACTCCACACAGAGAGCATTCACATCAAGGCAGTAGGGACAGAGCACAGGATTTGGTGTTGGTTTATATGTGAAAGCGCAACATGCACAGAGACAAAAACCAGTTGGAATGCTTTGTACTCACCCTTGGCTGTGCTTTGAACTATCCTGTACTCACAAATGGTATATGCTTTTGCGAACCAGAACGGACCAAACCCCCTCCCACACTTACGTTTGCCTAATTCATAATCGGACTAGTTGTTTTATTTAAAATTGGCAACAAACACATTTGTAGATACCCTTTAGCCACTTTATGCACAGGGTATAGAAAAGAGAACCTAACTTTGTGCCATGTTTCATAACACAATACGGCAGTCCATGCCGCTGTTGCCACTTTTGCAGCTGTTGTAACTGCGCCAGTGGCCATCCATTGCGTGCACTAGGATTAGGATTAGTCCTGTCTCTCCTGGCCAGGGCACAGCTTGCAGCTGTGGCGGACTTTTGGTTGCTACTGGCCTGAACATTTAACACTGGCAGCGGCATCAACATCAGCGACAGCGAGAGAAACGGGTTAGCGGCTCGCTAACAACTTCGTCATCAGACACACAGCTTTTGTGCTCCTCCACCTGCACGTGCCGCTCTCTATCCAATGCAGCACCAGAAACGTGCTGACGCCTCACAAAAGTTGGCATTTTTCTCGAAAATTGCTGTCAAAATCAAAATTTATTTGGCAGTGCATTCGATTTTGGCAATTTAGTTGGAAAAGAAAATCGACAACAGAGACGGAAGTGTCAAGCTCTACGTGAGAGGGTTTGGTTAGTTGGCCGTCCTCTAGCCTCTGGCGAGTCTTTTTTATCTCGAATATTGAAAATAAAGTAAGCGGTTTGCTGTTGCTTTTGTGGAGTATTTGATGAAGATTGCATATTTTATAGGACGCAGCTTTAAGCTGGGATCAAATATGGAATTTAAACTAAAAACTGAAGATAGAATTTTATTTGCTTTTAATCATCTCAGCAATATTCATTGAACAGCAGCAATTAAAAACTTTAAGTAGTTTCCATTAAGCCAGTTTTAAGCTGAAGTGCTTCTTATTAATAAAACGTTGTAACTCGTTGTAGCTTGTGTTCTCTGCTTTGACTTTTCTATACTCTATTTAATTGAGATTTCATAAAAACCTGCATCGGAAAACCTCTTTACCGTCAGCTAGTAAAATTAAATTTTTCGCTAGTAAAACGAAAAAAAAATATGAGATCAAATAAGTAAAAAAGAGAAAATAACAAAAGCGCCAAACTACATAAATATCAGACGCATTCGAGCGGCAATGCAACAATTTTTAATTACCATTTAGGCGCTTGAACGAGCACAACAGAACCAGGGAGAAGCAGAAAAGAATTCCAAGGAAAAATACTGAAAATCGCCAAAATCGCTCGAAGCTCTTTACAGACCCATTTGGCTCAATGTTGCTGCTGTATTTTTTAGGCATTAAAAAATTAAAAAGCGCACAGAAAAACAGACAGAGGCAGGCTGAAATAAGGGCAGGCAGCGAATGAAAAAAGATGGGGTGGAAAAAAAACGCTGGGGAAATTAAGTCAATGTCCTGCGGGGTCAGTTGCGTTTGGATAAATGTAATTAACCTTCAGGATAAGCATTGAGTTGGGTCTTTGATAATGAACGGCAAATGGCGAGTGTGAACTGAGAGAAAGAGAAAAAGAAAAGAGCGAGAGAGCAAGAGAAACAGAGAGACAGAGAAAAAGTCAGTAAGTACGTTTTAAAATACTTCAAACGGTTGGCAAATTTTCACAAACATTTTGGCAAGCTTCGAAACGTATAAGCTTAATGAGAAATTTGAAAATATTTGTTGTTACAATAATTATTAACTTCAGACCCGAGATTGACGGATGCTTAATAAGTAATGTAAGCCATTAAATATTATTATTTCTCGATAACATTTCAAACAAGGTGCTTTCAGG